CAAATACAGACCACAGAAGCTTCTTTAATAACACACACACACCAAGTCCAAAATGTTCTATTCTGTCATTCATGTGTAAATCAAGTATATTATTCATATACTTCATCGACTTCCTGAATGCGTGCTAAAAATGCCAAGGAAAAACTCGTTAATCGTGACATGGTGACTGCTCAGCCAGCTCTGAAATGTTGATGGAAAAAGAAAAATTGTCAAAGGGCCTTTTTAAGAACTTCTGCAGGTTACACTCGCAAATCGGAATTCAGAGAACATGAATTTCCTCATTCAGGAAGGAAGGATTAAAATCAAACACCCTCCAGTGGTTGCATCTAAAAACTGCATAGTTGTCCAAAATGGCTTACTTGTAAAAAGAGTCTTCCTGTGTACCGTTAGGTACGCAGGATCCAAGTCCCTTCTCAGTCTGATGGTTGTATAATCTCAAAAAAAAATTAAATTTATCTTCTATGGACTATAAAATATATGTCATCTTAGTGACTTCTAGGGTGTTTTTCTGTTAAATTCTTTAAATGTCAGGGTATACTAGGTGATAACTTCCTATCATCTCTTATTCAGTGTGTTAGAGTCTTCAACTCAAATCTTGTAGTTTTGAGATAGGAAATACAGCTTATATAAACCTCACACTCTATGGTCAAGGAGGATGATCAGGTCTGTCTTTGATAGACCAAAACAACTAAATAACTTTAACCAATTTAGCCGAACAAAAAGGCAGTGAGGTGTAAAATATTCTATAACCTGTTTGGCTAAATTGACACAGCATGTTGATTCATTTGACCTCTCACATCACCAAAAAGACTATATGGGAGCATTAAGAAGACATAGTTCAGGGATGCATCTCTTTAACCCTCATGCTGTCTGGGTCTGATTCTCACCTATGCACAATAGCTTCTTCTTTACATAATAAGCCAAGTGTCATCTACTGAATCTTAGGTGAAGTGATTCTCCTGTGTTCCATGTTGTCCCCATTTCCCTTTCTAATGTGTACAATGGTGATGCAATGTTTTCCAGTTCAGATGAACAATAATCAATATTGAAATATTAAGAGATGAATACTAACATTTTTCAGTCACTTGGTGGAGTTGATAAAGGCTGCCTATTGTGGTGCTACCAATTTTGGAATGTAAGAAGACAGGCCAGCACCATGCTGAATCCTATTGAATATGACCTAACATAGAATATAAATTTCACTTTGGTAATGATATTACTCTAATACAATTAGGATATTATCGCTCTAAATATTGATTTTGCAGAATTTCTACATTTAACAAGATATAAAATTGGCAAAACATAAAAAAATAAATAGTAATCTAATAAATTAAGCAAAAAATAGGAAAGAAATGTTTTAAAATTATTTATCCATATTCAATCTTTTGTAGGTATTCTTTCTAACATCAAAAGATAAAAGCAATATACTCATTTGCTTGTTTTAAGGACTGGGACTCTTCCTATGAATTACACTTTTTTTTTTCTTTTGGTAGAAAACTCCTTTTTAGACTTCACACTCTCCTTGTTAAAGAAAAAAATGCCTTTTAGATACTGCCATGCAAAAATTTAAACTCTTACTTATTTTAGTCTCATTATTTCCTCCTGTCTTAAACACTGTTCAAACAAATTCAGAAAGCATATATGAAGCATCCAACGAGCTCAAGTTTTCTGCTATATGATGACAGGAGTATAAGGATAAATGAAATACAGTCCTTGACCTCATGGAGGTTACAATCTTGCTGGCTAGATAAGATATAAATAGATGGGAAAATATATAAAAAAATGAAAGAGTGTAAAGTATCATAGGAGTAAAAAATGTATAGGCCAACAATTGACTATGTATGGTGAACTCTACGGCTGGAGAAATTATTATGGACTTTTCACAGATGCAGGGGGAGAAGACTAACTAGAATTTGTAAAGATATAAAAGACTAACATGAACAAAAGCATTACAGGGACACACAGTGTATATCAAAGGCAGTTTGGGTAGAGTTAAAGGTATAAGTAGGGGTAATGATAAGAGACAAGTTTAGGAGAGCAGGCCCGGCTAGCATCAGACTACAGTAGTGTTTAACTAAGGGCTATTGATTTTATCCTTTAGGAAATGGTGAACGATTTAAGGTTGAATGTAAGAGTGACATGATTAAGGATTTGTACCTATTAGTGGAAATAGATGGATGAGAGGACAAATAGGGGAGGTAGAGAGTAAACAACATTGTAGTAATGAGGTGATTAGGGCTATACTAGAATGGCAGAGCTGAGAATGGAAAAGATCAATGGACACTGGATTTGGGAGCAAGATACAGAAGAATAAATATGACTCAGGGGTATCAGCAGTTTCCTTGAGGTTCAGTCAGTGTAGAAGTGGTATCTCAATGCTGGCGAGGATGTGGAGAAACAGGCACCCTCCTACACTGTTGGTGGGAATGTAAACTGGTACAGCCCCTCTGGAAAACAGTGTGGAGGTTCCTCAGGAAACTAACAATAGAACTCCCTTATGACCCAGCAATAGCACTGCTAGGAATTTACCCAAGGGATACAGAAATGCTGAGGCATAGGAGCACATGTACCCCAATGTTCATAGCAGCACTCTCCACAATAGCTAAAACATGGAAAGAGCCTAAGTGTCCATCAACAGATGAATGGATCAAGAAGATGTGGTTTATCTATACCATGGAATACTACATGGCAATGAGAAACAATGAAATCTGGCCATGTGTAGCAACATGGATGGACCTTGAGGGTGTTATGCTGAGCGAAATAAGTCAGGCAGAGAAGGACAAATATCATATGTTTGCACGTATAGGAGGATTAGGAGGAACTTGACGGAGGAACAAGGGGGAGAAGAAGGGCGGAAACGGTGGGGGAAAGGGAGAGAGGCAAACCATGAGAGACTCTTGAATGCTGACAAAAACTGAGGACTGATGGATGTGGGGGGGAGGGGGGGATGGGCATGGAGGAGGGCACTTGTGGGGATGAGCACTGAGTGTTATGTGGAAACTAATTTGACAATAAACTATTTGTAAAAAAAATAATAATAAAATAAAAACAAAAACACTTTTGTCTTATCATAAAAAAAAAAAGAAGTGGTATCTCAAGTCATGATGATGAAGAGCATTACAGAAAGAAAGAGGAGTGGAAGATCATGAGAAGGAGTTTGGGGAATTATTACATTTGTGGTACAGGGAATTAATGGAACAATAAATATTGTCTTTGTTCCTTCCTATACACATGTAAGTGTGCATATTCATGTGCACACAGAAACAGAGATACATGGATTCTGAAAAAAAGAGATAAACAACCAAAACACAAGTGTTTCCAATTGTCTCCTGTCAGTTTAGTGGCCTTGGTGGACTGCTGATAATCTGAATAAATGTTACTGAGGAATAGCATGATCTAGCAGATTGAGAACCAGAGTCAAACAGATCTCGGTTCTAATCCCACCTCTACCATTTGCTAGCTATCTGATCTTGGATTTCTTTTTATTTTTTAATGTTTATTTATTTGAGAGAGAGAGAGAGAGAGAAAGAGAGGGAGAAGGAGCAGGGGAGGGGCAGAAAGAGAGAGAGACACAGAATCTGAAGCAGGTTCCAGGCTCTGTCAGCACAGAGCCTGATGCGGGGCTTGAACTCACAAACTGTGAGATCATGACCTGAGCCGTAGTCGAATGCTTAACCAACTGAGCCACCCAGGTGCCCCTGATCTTGGATTTTTAAATTTATTTTCTCATCTGTAAGATGAGGATAATAATACATGCTCAGTTTCCACATAGGGTTATTGTAAAGATTAAATGAAATTATGTCAAGATATTGTACATACTGTGAAGTACGGAAAATTTCAGCTTTTTAATTTTGTTATTACATGTGTAAAAATTACCATATTCTGATTTGTAGTCATACTTTAATTCCCCCATCAAGAATATTAATATACACTCATATGCAGAGAAACAATGAAATCTGGCCATGTGTAGCAACATGGATGGGCCTTGAGGGTGTTATGCTGAGCGAAATAAGTCAGGCAGAGAAGGACAAATATCATCTGTTTGCACGTATAGGATTAGGAGGCACTTAACTGAGGACCATGGGGGAGAAAAGAGGGGGAACTGGTGGGGGAAAGGGAGAGAGGCAAACCATGAGAGACTCTCGAAACAAACTGAGGACTGATGGATGTGGGGGGGAGATGGGCACGGAGGAGCGCACTTCTGGGGATGAGCACTGGGTGTTATATGGAAACCAACTTGACAATAAACTATTTGTCAAATATATATATATATATATATATACACTCATATGCAAATTAATTCTAGCACTTTTATTTCCCCTCAATGGCATTTTAAGCTCTTTGAGGGCAGGGATCATATTTTTGGCTTTTCTGTATTCCTTTTACAGTTTAGCCTGTATAGCAATCTGAGTATTAACAGGAACTAAATATATATTTTTACTTGAACCTGAATTTATTCTAAAAGCTCAAATATAGCTTTCAATATGCAGCATAATATAAAAGTAGCATTCAAGCCTACATAGTCCAGAACCTCTTTGAAATAATTTAAATACACAGTAAAAGTGCCATACCCAATGACCTCACATATCTTTTTTTATGTGACTTTTTCTATTAATCTGGAAATGAGTATCAAGGCATAAATTCAGTTATTAGTGGCAATGAATGTAGGTATAAGTAGAAGCACAATGACAGAAGACTAGCTTTGGAACTGTAACACATTGAAAAGACTTTTATAGAGATTTTTTTAAGGATCATCATTTTCTCAGAACACTAAGGCAATATAATAAAAAAATACCATTAAGGCACAATTTAAAAACCATACCTAAAATGTAAGTGAGAGTGCCTTTTAAAAAATTTGGGTGGTAGAAAGTCAGAACACTTTGAATTTAATAAAATCTGTGAGAACAACTATCTAAATATTTGGCTCTGACATTTGAAGTTTCCACATAACTTCATAAAAAACACAAAACTTCTTAAATACAAAACTTGAAAATACTTACTTCCACTTGGAATCAGGTCCCTTTCTGGTATGAAGAGTTTATATCCGTAGTGTTTTTCCAGGACATCTGGCAGTATTTCAAGAGCAAACTGCTCTTCTTCAGGATTTTCACAGTCTAAAGTATCTTGGTCCACTTTTGTGTAAGACAGATAGGCATCATATTCCTTGTTATCTTAAATATAAAGAACAACAAGTGGGTTTTATGTATTATCAGGTTCTCTATAAATGTCTATAATCACTAACAAGCTAGAATAGTCCCTATAATTAGTGACCTTCATTAATAATTAGAAAAAATATGCCACATGCCATATTATAAGAAATCTAGAACATTTCAACATAACCTATTCATATGATATGAACTGAAACTGTTATGTAATGGGAAACCTATAGTCAAGACAGAATAAGGGAGAATTATTATTTGTGACTTTTGGTGACTATACATATTTGTGATGTTCAGTGATGTGTGAGTGATTAGCTCAGTGTGTCTGAATGCAGGACTAAATAGACCAAAGTCATGGATTTGAACTTTTTCTATGCCAGCTGGCTTGGCTCTGTTACTTGGTCACAGATTATACCTCGTTTGCACAAATATGTGCAAGAGATCTAAGAGGGGCTGGGCCCTAGAGTGTGGAAGATTAAAATAATCCAGCCTCACTCCTGGAGATCACAACACATGCCATATTTCCAGTTGGTTAGTATCGTCATCTTCATATACAAAAAGCAGTTCATTACCAAATATTAGAGACAGCAGCTGGGTTTTATTGTCTGTTATTCTTGTTCAATCCATGGCCAACTAATTTGACACAAGCTTCCAAAAGAAGCCTTTGTTTCGAAATATACATCCTTCCACTACTGCCAAATTAGGTTTTCCCTTCACACATTTAGTCAGGGAGTTAACTGTGCTTTGAGAAAGTATTTTTTCTTTGCTGTATTGGCTCAGAGCTAGCCTCTCCAAAGAGAATATGTAAAATGTTTATATATTTTTTCCTTAAAATTATTAATGAATATAGCTACTCAAGCTATTAGTCCCAGTGATTTTAGAAAGGCCACATTGAAAAATTTACACTGGGTTTCAAAATTCCCTTATTTATAGAAAAATTATTTTTAAAAGTTAAGTAGTGAGGAAAGACTTAAATGAAACTATTAGTATTTATTAATTCTTGCAAATAACAATTTTATTTATTTATTATTTATTTATTATTCTTGCAAATAACAAATTTAAAAGATGGGAAAATATTTTAGGATTTGTTTCTAAACACATCGATATTTTCTATTAAAGCAGACCTAATTAGAATATAGCTAAAACTGACCAAAAGGCAATTTACAGAATGAAGCAGCCACTCATCAATACCCTTAATGATTTAGTTCTATCTACTAAATGGTAGGCATATAAAGAGACATAAATACCTTACGGTAGAAGTAGGTGGAACCCCCTGACTATCTAGAGATATTTGAGGCAGGATTATATTGTTCTAATTCTAGTAAGATTCCAGTCTTCACCACCCCCACATGAAAGGAACTCTGGTTATTTATGTTATGATGGTGCCTGAAGCCAAAAGCTTTTCTTTAGCATGTCCTCTGGCTGGAAAAGACTTCCATAAACCTTGGTTGGGTTACTTGATTGCCGAGAAGCAGATGCACATGAAGGACTGCCCTGGATGGTTGAGATCATTTGGCTTACAAATGGGGCACATTCCACTCTTATGCATAAAACACCTCTTGGAAGTGAGAATGTTCATAAACAATGCTAATGTAAGAACCTCCTGGTAATCTCAGCACCTCTGCCCCTGTTCCAATCAAGCTCAGGATGCACCTGCAAGCCCTTGACTTTCTCCAGCTATAATTACTCACCTGGGACTTAGAGCTGCCGATGATACACAGCTGGAAGAATAAAATAGGCCAAAGGACAAACAGATCCATTCCTATGAACAGAAGGTATTTCATTGCTCTTAATGGATGGTGCTGCTTCCTCAAACTCCATGATGTCAGACTAGATCCTTGTTCCCTCTGACTTCGATAACTTTTATATTTCACAAACCTCCCTAAATTCAACTACTTATTAATTCATTCAACAATGATTTGTTGAGCATCTACTCTGAGCTAGACATCTGCAATGACTACCTGGCTCTTTGACCCATCTTACCAGGCCATTAGATTCATGCCTTCATTGCTTATCCTGATTAAGACTATTTGCCCTCCAGCCATGCCTAAACTCACATATTTCTCATTCTTACTAGATTCACCTATATCCTAATATTTCTTCTAGAAAAATATTACTATATTTGCATATCCCAAATCAAGTATGACAAAGAACATAGATGTTTTTCTTGTGTGTTAACACCTAATATATCTGGATAATAAGTTTTACCTAACATTCTAGAAGCATATCATTCTTTGGAAAATTATTGCTTCTGCTTCTAGTCATGCCCCTTTAAGATGAGCTAAAGATAAAGAGCTTATAGTGGCTGGACAGAACAGGAAGAGTGCTCACAAAGCCACCATGTCAGATGTCCCAGAAGCTCTAGGATGGCAGCTAGTGAGCAAGCAGTGATGCAAATGCCACAGTCTAAAAAATGCACTTCACCCTTATGTAGACAGCCAAGAAAAAGCTCATGAATAGCCACAGCTGTTGCTCACAGAGATGAGCAAGATGGAAGAGCAAAATCAAAAATATGATGCAAATAAGGTTAAGAGCAAGGCCTGAAAATTGTTTTAAAACTGAATGTCAATTCCGCAACACCACTCTGCTAGGCAAGGCTACTGAGACTTCCTCTGTGTTAAATCATGCTGACTAAGCTTATCTAAGGAACCAGAAAATACAGAACGCAGATGGCAGAGCATTATAAGAAAGAGGGTTTGCACAGTGATCACCATAAGTATGTTGTTCCTTATGAAGAGAGAAGTTATGAGGAAGGGAACCAAACCTTCTGTGGAAGAATTTTCCTGTTGTCACACCTGTCCTTCCCTGTTTTTAAAGCTCACTTTAATCCTGTTCACCACCAGGAAGCCATACCTGTTTAGAATCCAGTTCTTCTGGGGCTATGCTAAACACAGTGCTAAATCGTGAGCTTCTAAAGTGCAAAGACTGTGTAACTTTGTTGATTATTATATCCCTAGTACCTCCTATACTATGCGTGTTGATCCAGATGAAGAATATAAGTACATCATAAATAATGCCTCTCACATAGTAGACACTTAATAAATATTTAATGGCTGAACATCTCAAAGGTCAAATAAATGAAGTAGTCATTATTTGGTGGATTAAAATGAAATGAATATAAAAATGGCTAAGAAGTCAAAGTTTGTTGGATTGCTTTTATTTTATAAAAATAAGGCAGTTTTAAAGAGCTTTCAGAAAATGCTACTATAGATATAAATCAAAAAGAAAACATGAACAAAAAGTGTATGGGTAAAACTAAGTTGTGTCCATAAGGTGTCAAAATACTTCAATAAAGAAATTAGAAATTCAGAGGTTATCTAGCTGATATTTGGCATCATGAAACTGAGTATTTCTAAAAGAGCTTTAATATTCATTTATTAATCCTCACCACATACCTGTTGACATTTTATTATTCCATTCAGCTAGTACAGGTTGTGTATTTCAGGTTTAAGTTTCCATACAGGAATATAAAATATTTGAATTCCCTTTCCTAATGAAAACTCTTTTTTTTTAATGTTTTTTTTTTATTTATTTCTAGGAGAGAGAAAGAGACAGTATGAGCAGGGGAGGGTCAGAGAGAGAGAGAGAGTCACAGACTCTGAAACAGGCTCCAGGCTCTGAGCTGGCAGTCAGCACAGAGCCCGACGCGGGGCTCGAACCCACGAACCACGAGATCATGACCTAAGCGAAAGTAGGACGCCTTAACCGACTAAGCCACCCAGGCACCCCATCCTAATGAAAACTCTTGAAAACCCTTCCCCCAAATTACATTTTTTCCCCTAAAACAATTGGTTTGGAATCAATATACAATTCTCTAATAGAAATCCTCTAGATTATTTGGCATCTTTGACCACATGGGACACATTGGAAATATAGACACAAAATGGACTATTTTATCCCTGAAATGTCCTATGATGCTAGCATGAATTTAATCATATCAGTATGTACTATAGCTGACCAGTTAGTCTGGATTATTGGGTATGGATGATGAAAATAATTAATTATTGCAGATTACCTTAATAAATTATATCATCACTTACAAAGAGTATTGGCAAATTGCTTATGCATCTTTTACATTCCCGATTGGATACTTTAGCCAATTGTTGGCACAGTGACTTTTTCCTCAATAGCACAATTCATCTAGTTATTTTATGCATGCATGTAAGAAGTCAGATTTTTCTACATTAATTGTTGTATAAAGAAACTGAGCACAACTGACCACATTTTCATATATATATTGTTGGAGCATATAATTATGGTCAAAACAGGCCCTAATCTCTCACTTTGAAAGTATGTCTGAATAAGGGTCTGTAATACTTCTAAATGGGCTGCTATATGGTTAAATAAGTACACTGCTTTGATAAAGAGCATGCATATGTACTCATCAAACAGAATTTTTCTAATTTACTATGTAAATATAGTGAATTAAAACCCACTCATATTATTTACACAATAGAAACCATAGGGCCAAAATCAAAGATTCCTCAAAAAATAACTTTTTTACAGTTACCACTCTGCCCTTCTTTTATCACTATAAAAATAAACAAAATTATGAGCCCTTCTCCTTTGAGGAAAGACCATGATCTTAGCAAAACAAACAAAACCTCAAACTTCCATTATTTCAACATAATGAAAACTAAAATTTAACCTGTCTTTTTAATGACTTACAAATGGACTTCTTTTTAATCTTGGCTTACCTAAGGCATTCCACACACATATTTCCAAGACTTACAGTAGTTCGTGGGTGAGGGCTTTATGCACAAGGAGTGACATGTCATGATTTCTTATTGGTATTGATTTGAAATATGGTAATTTATTCTCTTGAAAAATCAAGTCATTTGAATGTTCAAAGAAACAAAGCCCAATAAAATGCCTTATTGTTATTTATTCATATGATTTCCAAGGACCATAGATGGCAAACATAAAATTATAAGCTACATTTGGAATTTCTTTTTTTCTTTTTAATTTTTTAACTTTTTATTGATTTGAGAGGGAGAGAGAGAGCATGAACAGGGGAGGGTCAGAAAGAGAGGGAGACCCAGAATCTCAAACAGGCTCCAGGCTCTGAGCTAGCTGTCAGCACAGAGCTCGACTCGGGGCTCGAACCCATGAACCATGAGATCATGACCTGAACCGAAGTCGGACGCTTAACCGACTGAGCCACCCAGGCGCCCCTACATTTGGAATTTCTATCCTTTGATGTCCTTTTTCTTTTCCTTATAGTTTATTGTCAAGTTGGTTTCCATATAACACCCTGTGCTCATCCAAACAAGTGCCCTCCTCCATGCCCATTACCCCCCTTTCCCTCTCCCCTTCCACCAACAGCCCTTAGTTTGTTCTCAGTATTCAAAAGTCTCTCATGGTTTGCCTCCTTCACTTTCACCAACTATTTTTCTGCTTCCCCTCCCCCATGGTCCTCTTAAGTTTCTCCTGTTCCACTTATGAGTGAAAACGTATGGTATCTGTCTTTCTCTGACTGACTTATTTCACTTAGCATAACACCCTCGAGTTCCATCCACGTTACTACAAATTGCCAGATTTCATTCTTTATCATTGCCATGTAGTATTCCATTGTATAGATTAACCACATCTTTTTGATCCATTCATCTGTTGATGGACATTTAGGCTCTGTCCATCTTTTGGTTATTGTTGAGAGTGCTGCTATGAACATTGGGGTACATGTGCCCCTATGCATCAGCATCCCTGTATGCCTTGGGTAAATTCCTAGCAGTGCTATTGCTGGGTCATAGGGGAGTTCTATTGTTAATTTTCTGAGGAACTTCCACGCTGTTTTCCAGTGGAGTTGCACCAGTTTACATTCCCATCAATAGTGTAGGAGGGTGCCCATTTCTACACATCCTCACCAGCATTTGATGTTCTTTTTGATTGTGGTTCTATAATCACCCAAAATATGTGGGTCCAGATGCACTGTGAGCCTTAAAAAGAGAATCTCAATAGCTTTTAATCTGTTTCCTAAATGATTTTTTTTCAATGCCAGGAGTGGCTAAAAATTGTCTGTACCTGCATTTGAATTTTATGGAGGAAAATAATGTAGTTTATTCTTATTTATTTCGTAGTAAGGGAAAGGGTTTTGAGAGCAATTGTTTTAGCTCATGATCAACTAATGTCTCTTTGTTAAGCTGTATATGTCAAACATATAGAAAAATCATAAAAATAAAATCATTTCAAAGAACATCTATATATCCTTTATCCAGATTCACCATTTTTTAATGTTTTCTCCCCTTTGCTCTCTTTCTTCATAAATGCATAAAGCTTTTCTAAACTACTTGAGGGGTGACATGCCTTTGTCATAGCCCTGTAACTCTAAATATTTCATCATGTATCTCCTAAGAATAGGGACATTTTCTTACATAATCACAATTCATGCCCTTTAATTGAGTTTGAACAACAGGAGAGAGCTTACCATTGGTAGTTTCATCACCCCCAAAATGCTGTCGGTAGAAGAGCATTAGTTCAATATCGTAGCATTTGTAGATGACCACAAGCAGTATGAAGAGGAGGAAGACTGCTCCCAGGCCTCCTGCAAGTTCAATTTTGTAGATTAAATCTGGAATCAACAGAATAAACAGGAAAAGGTAATTAAATCAGCAACATTTGGGATCTAGTCCGTAAGATGTACAACCCATTATTTTTTTCTTTCCAAAAGATTCTTGCTTAATACAGTATGTAGCTCTGTTCTCAACAAATTTCAGTAAATCAAATTTTCATAAAATTAACTATTTGGATTTGAGTAATTTTAGTGTTGAAAGTGATGTCTAGCTGAAAAGGAATAGGCACTCAATTTGTTTTGATCACATCTAGATCTCACATATATATTTGTTTTAAGTGTATTTCAGGGAAGTGTTAGGACTGCTTTTTTCCAGGTCTAGGGCCAATATTTTGTTGTTTCTGTTATCTTATTGACTTAGCAAGATTACCATCTAGTACTCCTCAGGCCACTGGCCCTATTCTTTTACATGAGAATAGCATCATAAAATTATTATCAAAATAAAATAAAATTCAATGAGCTTACAAGACTTAACTGTTTCATTTAACCCTAAGAACATAATCTAATAGAACATAACCTCGGAAAATTAGCTTATCTATTTCCCCTACTTATTTCAATAAATGACTATCATATGTATATGATATAATATGCCCAGTGGGGCTAAAAGAGAATGATGTTAATAAGGAGTATTATGAGGGGAACCATAAAGAGTAGGGATAAGAAATTAGAATCTATCTGTACTGCCTGCTGTAAGAGGTAGTCATTTTGAAATTTTTTAAATGTTTTCATTTATTTCTGAAAGAGAGAGAGAGAGAGAGAGAGAGAGAGACAGCGTGAACAGGGGAGGGTCAGAGAGAGAGGGAAACACAGAATCCTAAACAGGCTCCAGGCTCTGAGCTAGCTGTCAGCACAGAGCCCCATGCAGGGCTCGAACCCACAAACCATGAGATCATGACCTGAGCTGAAGTCGGACGCACAACCGACTGAGCCACCCAGGTGCCCCAGTCATTTTGAAAATTAATCCCCAAAATTTCAGGTAAAAAAAATCCTACCACACATTTGCTATGTCTCCTGCCCTCTACATAGAAAGTAGTTCCCCATGAGCCATTGCCTGCCTCTATATGGGTGGTAACGCAAGCTTGCTTATGAGACCTGTGTGGGGCTACAATATCAAAATCTTTGCTGATTTTCCCACCATCTTACATCAATGCATTCTTAACAGTCAGTGTGAAATGGACAGAGCAATATGATTTTTTTGTTTCTCTGGAAATTGACTTTTCTTTGATCTTAGGACATTGACTTGATTCAACATTTTTTTTCCTGCTGTAAAATGTTAATTTTATGTTGTAAATATTTTGGATTATTTCTCTTTCCATATCTCTGTCTCTTTGGTCAGAATAGATTTCAATGGTTTTAAAAGTCACCAAATGGGAATTTTTTAGCAATTTCTATGTCATTTACAGAGTACAGTTGTTATTAGATAGATGGAAACTTCAGCAATAGGAACAATTTGTGCTACCAAGTAACAGACACCTTTTTCAGCAGTAAATTTATGGAAGAAAACCATGGTGTGAAAAGTATATTTGTGGTTTTGGGGGTCCATTTTATAAAAATGTCTTTGAAATATATTATCTAATGATGGTTGTTTATGTTGAAAACTGCGCACCTAGTCACTGAGACTCAACCAGTATTCTTTAATTCAACCTAGGCAGAGCCATTAAAAAGGAAACATGCATCTTATAACCAGAGGGCAGAATTGCCATCACCAAGATGACACTTGACCTTTTGTCGTCTTCTGTTTTCAACTGCCATTTTCCATCTCAGCAAGATCTATACTTCTAGAGACATTTCCTGAGAAGGTGAAAATCGTTTTATTTGGACTGTGTGTTGTATACACATCACAAAGATAGAGACAGCCAGAACAGTAAATATTTTTGGGGTTGTAACTTTTTGTAGGCACCCAAAGTACAAGTGTAGTTCTTTTTAATCTTCTTAGTTTGAACCCAACTTTTTCTTCACTTTGCACATTAAGATCAACATCATAGAATGAGACAAATAGCAGCTGAAGCCAAGGGACTAGAGAGAGGGAATACTGGAAATGTTTTGAGCTAGCTCAAAAGTTGGGAAGCGGGGCGCCTGGGTGGCTTAGTCGGTTGAGCGTCCGACTTTCGCTTAGGTCATGATCTCGCGGTTCGTGGGTTCGAGCCCCGCGTCGGGCTCTGTGCTGACTGCCAGCTCAGAGCCTGGAGCTTGTTTCAGTCTGTGACTCCCTCTCTCTCTGACCCTCCCCTGCTCACGCTCTCTCTCTCTCTGTCTCTTTCCTAGAAATAAATAAAACATTAAAAAAAAATTAAAAAAAAAAAGTTGGGAAGCAGGTTAGGAGATCTCACCTGAGGGTTTCCTATACAGATTGGGGGTTCAGGGTGGGGCAGTAACACTGGGAGTGAAAAGAGAGGAATTCAGTGCTATGCTCCTATTTGTAGGAAAGGCAGTATGTGCAGAGAAGAAATAATTACCAGAAATTCCTTAGCATAAATTCAGTCACAGTACACACACACACACACACACACACTAAACTTACTGAAATTTAAGTTATAATTGTTGATAGTAGTTCATCAGAGAGTGAGCAAGTGGTAGGTGCACGTAAAAGATGCATAAATAAGGATGTCTTGCTCTGAGAAAGCCTGACTCTGTTAATTGTATATATTACACACGAGTTTTCATTTTACGAAAGGCATTTTCACAATAAGGATTCATCAAATGTTTATTCATTATTATCACTTAAGACCTTTACAATATTTGACTTATAGCTCATCAGGAAGTTGTTGTTCCATTAACAAATGTCATATTCATATTCTGGGTGAAAATCATGCAGCCACTGCGGCCAGACTCTGCTGTGATAAAATCCGAAAGGTTCAACTCCAAAGGAAACATCTGAAGTTTTGCAAGACGAGCCAGAGCTCAGTCTGATTAAAAATGTTGGAGCAGGGCCATAGGGCTGCTCGCTCTTTTCTGGAGCTCTACCATATTGTTGAGAGCTCCCAAGGAAAATAGAATAAGGGAAGATGAACTGCATCCTTTTGTAAAGCACAGTGAAAAAATTTAACTGTTACCTGATATAGGGAGTGCACACTGGTATAATTTGACTCACCAAAAGGTTTTTTTGTTCTGTATAATGTTTTCAAAAAAATAGATACTAATATTTAAAACTCAAAAGAGTTTTGAGTTATTACCTAGTCAAACATCATTTGAAAACTCAAATTCTCTTTTCTTTGAGTTTACATTTCAGCAAGCATGGCAATAATCTACTAGAAAAGAGTAGTGACTGCCCCTTTAAAGTGAACCATGTTTTCTCTAGCTTGTGTGTTTTTTTCCTAAGATCCAGCCTCTTAAAGTAAAGTTTTACTATCTGCCTGGACCCTGCGGTCTTAAATTTTTTAACCTCCAATCTGGAAAGTGAATGTCTTTTAAAAGAAAAATGCATTTAGATAGCCCAGGGCAGATACTAGTCAAGAGAAAATCACGGATAAATCCTCTCTTTACCAATCTCTGTTATCTATTTCCACCCTATTGCTCTGGCCGTCTAGGAGGAGTATTTTCACTCAACAAATATTTTTGAGCACTTACTATGTTCTATTCAGTAGGGATACAACAGTAAATAAGGCAGAAAAAGTCCCTGTTCTCATGGAGTTTACATTTTGGGGGGGGGGGGAGATAAGAAGAAAACAAATATGTAATAAGATATCAAATAGTAATAAGTACAATAAACAGATATAGAGCCAAGTAAGAGGGAAAAAAAAGTGATGGGTAGCTAATGATTAGATCAATAAAATATGGCATACATATATATGATGGAATATTATTTCACCTTTAAAAAAGAGGGGAATTCTATCATTTACTACAACATAGATGAACCTGGAGGGTATTATGCTAAGTGAAGTAAGCCAGACAGAGAAAGGTAAATACTAGACTGCATTGTGCCACTCATATATTGAATCTAAAACAAAACAAAACAAAACAAAACCTGAAGTCATGGAAGAAGGCAGTAAAAAAAAATGGTTGTCGGGTGCTGGGGCTAGAGGAGAAAATAGGGAGAAGTTGGTAAAAGGGTACAAACTTCCAGTTGTAAAATGAAGAAAGTCTAAGGATCTAATGTAGTTGATAACATTGTATTGCACAATTGAAATTTGCTAGGACAGAACTCACATGTTCTCACAAGAAAAAATAAAAGAAGGTAAATATGTAAGGTGATTGGTATGTTTATTAATTAACTCAACAGGGGGAATCTTTTCACAATGTATATGTATATCAAATCATCCTGTTGCATAATTTTAATTTGTCAATTTTATTTGTCAATTTTACCTCAAGAAAGCTTAAAATGCTTAAACAAAGAAAGTGCAGATACCTTTATACTTTGGCAATCACACACAAAGGGAAGACAGAGAAACTGAAACAGTCCATGCCCTCAGATTTGGGAAGTGCCCTCAGATTTGGCAGTGAAGGAGATGGAATGCACCTGGCACAATGATTTGAACTGTATTAAAATTTTTAATATTCTAAAAAAAAAACCCAAAAGCAAAAAGCAAAAACAAAGGTAATACTCTTTTATAGAGTGTGGGCAGGAGAGGCTATTGAGCAGGTAATATTTAAGCACAGACCTGTATGAAAAAAGTGAGTGAATCCTAGGAACAGCTGGGGAAAGAATGTTCCAGACCCAGGAATTAGTAAGTGCAAAGATCATCAGCTAGGACTATGCTTGGTGGGCACAAGAAATAGAAAAGAAGTTAGTGTGTGTGATGTTTGAGGCAAAAAGAGATTGTGGTAGAAAAGTAGATCAGAATTCACAGTAGATTATGTCATGCATTGTAGGCCATGGTGTAGATTTGTGATTTCATTCTAAGTGTAATGGAGAGGGTTTTATAATCGGAGGGTTCTGATTAGAGGAATAATACGATCTAAGTTACATATGAAAAGGATTATTCTGGCTGCTGTGATGAGCATAGACTGCAAGATGACATGGAAGAAGCAGGGAGGCAAGTTAGGAGTCCATTGAGTGAGCCAGGCAATTGATGCTGGTGCTTCAGACCAGGGTCATTAACAGTGAGTGTAGGGAAAGTCATTAGAGTCTGGACTATTTTGAAAGTAGAGCCATGGGATTTGCTGATTGACTAGATATAGCCTGTAAGTAGAGAAAAGAAAAAGTCAAGGATGACTCCCAGGATTTTGACCTGAACAACTGGAAGGATGGTGATGGAGATGGAGCAGGCAACTGGAGGATCAGGTTTATATGAAGGAGAAAAAAAATTCTTGTTTGGGACAAATGAAGCTTGATATGCCTACCAGATATGTCTACTAGTGGAGTTTTTGAGTAGTGGTTGAATAGGCAGTTAAGTATACAACTCTGGAAGTTAGGAAAGATGGCCAGACTAGACATATAAATTTGGAAATTGTCAGCATATATATGCAGTAAGCAAAACCATGAGATGGAGATGGAATGAAATTATCTAAGAAGTGATTGAGAAGAGATGACCTGAACTCTGGGGAACTCGAATATATGGAGATGAGAAGGATTAGAATTAATATTCTCATTTATTCATGCTTTAGACACGTTTCCTCACAGAAGCCATGAGAAATTGCAATTTTACAGTGTACCTTGGTTTCGAGACAGTTTATTAGAAATTTTAAGGGGTGCTAGTGGTTGCTTTACTTATTAAAGAGAAATGGATTTATTTTTAAACTCAGATACGGCTATTTTTATTGCTGCCAACTGAATGATAGGAGCCCTGCTACCACCATTATTTTTCCTCATAGCAGTAACACTTGTGCAATTTTTTGTTTAAGTATTTTTTATTTTTAAAAATGTTTATTCATTTTTTAGAGAGAGACACAAAGTGTGAGTGGGGGAGAAGCATAGAGAGAGACACAGAACTCGAAGCAGGTTCATGGCTCCAAGCTGTCACAGAGCTCGATGCGGGGCTCAAACTCACAAACTGTGAGATCATGACCTGCGCTGAAGTCCAATGCTCAATTGACTGAGCCACCCAGGTGCCCCCAAATTTTTGTTTAATGTTTATCTTTCTTTGTACACTCACAGGCTTGGGGATGTCTATTTTATTCATCACTTTATTTCCTAGTACTTAGCACAATACTTGCTATACATGATCTTCAATAATAAAAGATAATTCCATTCATTAACCAGATGGGTTCTAAGTACCTATAGTGGCCAGACATTGCCCAAGTTGCTAAGGATACAGAAGTGCTGCAACCCCTGGGTTGATGATCTCTGAGCCTAAAATAAGACTGGAATGAGTAGGAACAAAGTGATCTTTGCTATAAAGTATATGGACATGATCAATGTCTGTCCTTTATGTAGGTGGACTATATGGTTGCCTAGTGCACAGGAGAAGTTATCCAAGTTCTGTATAATAATAAACACTGAGTGTGGTATATTTTACACTACATCATTATCATTTGAGCCTCAAAATGCCTCTACAAGGTAGATATTATTATCCTTGTTTTACACGTGAGAAAACTGAGGTTCAGTTTGCTTAATCAGACAAATTAGTCCTACAAAATCAAGGAGTTGAATCGGTGGCTAAACCAGGATCTCCTCAACCAGGGTCTCCTGATTTTACTTTGTATATTAGACTCCTTTATACTTAAAAACTCCATTATTTTAAGATGGAATGAAGTCCAATTGAATAAGAAATGATACTAGAGAGATAAAAGCATTATTCTCAGAATAATGACATTTTCTTGCTTCTCCTAGAACTGCTGGTCAAGGTCAAGTATTAGGGTTGGCTGGAAAATAGAAATTCCATCTTGGTTAAGAGGTACAACTAGTGACCTTATTGATTGAATGTGTTCTATTGCTCTATAGCCTAGACAACAAGAACAGTGATTGAGAACATTTGTTCTGTAACATTTACAAAAACGTTTGCCAGATGCTCACATACAGAAATATTTAGCCTTTTGCGGTAATCAAGGGTTGAGACAGGGTAAGAGCCAATCTCAGAAGCTTCTCCAGCTTCTGGGATTGTTGTTTCTATATTTGCTTTTATATTCTTTATTTATAAATTTACTTTCTTTTCTTTACCCATTATATAATTTCCATCCCATCTGAAACCAAAGTTAGAGAGGGATTTCCATTAATGCCAAATTATTTTTAAAATATATGCATCTATCAAAGGCCTCTTAATACCAAGTCATATCATGAGATATTATTTATAATCTTTATTATGACAATTACAAGAATATTATGATATTTTAAATTTAAAATATGACTCTATTTTAGTCAGGGAATAAAAAAAGTGGCTTTGTTTCTCATTCAATCATAGAATCCCTAGTTCTTCATTTAAACAATATAAGATGGTGAAATATAGAGAAAAATTTGTATGTCAATACCTTTCAAATTTTATGTAATACTTATAACCAAGGTACATTTTATCTTACTGATTTAACACATAACAATATTTCATTTTATTTATCTACTTCCTAATGGTATACAAGATTGTAGGCATTTCATGCTAATATCCATAGCAATAGAGATATTTTTCCTTAAAAAGACAAAACGTTTAATAGCAATTTGTGCTAAATGATAAAATAAGGCCAGGAAGCATATTTAACTTCAATAGTTACTTGGTATCTAAACAAACCATAGTAATAGCTACAAAAACAAATACCCTTTTTACGCAGCAGAACACTGGCATGTTTCCGTCCATTTCGGTTTTCCACATGGCAGGTATAATTTGCCAGGTCAGCCTCCACCACTGAATCAAAGATGAGTGCCAACTCAACTTCTTTTTCTCCAAGATGCTCTTTGAGGAGCCTGAAATAAAGACAGTATTATTGGTTGAATTCATTTGACTTGAGGAATGAGCAGCTATGCAAAAATTGCAGATGATTATGTAGCTCACAAAGTCTCCATTGGGCATGGCGAACGTTGACTGGGTATTATGTATAGGACCTTCAAAAAGAAACCACAAAAAGTGACTCTTGATGTGAAGATCAGATGGGAAAGGAAAGAAGTGAGGAATTCACTCAGCAAAAAGAAATATAACCATGCCAGTAGGCTTTGATAAATAAGCCATGATTTGTGCAGCAAAATAGGAGGAAACACTGGGCCCAATGTCTAAGCTGAACTTATGAAAACAAATTAGATTTTTATACCATTGCATGAAGAGAAAAATATTGATAGGTGTAGTGTTTGTGTCTGAGGTTAGAGTTTCGACAACAGGGAGTAAGAAAGTAAAGAAGTGAGCCTCAAAAATCGTTGCCTTATAGGAAGAAAACTGAAAGTGGTAAGTGGTCTTCTATCCTCAATTAACCATGAGAAGTCTGTTCTCTACTTTCTTCCTACATTTGTATAATGCAGGCATGTGCCCTGTGCCTTAATCTGCCAATGATGTTGGCCCCTGCCATGGTCCTGTCTTTTTCAGACACTGTTTCCCCTTGTCCTTCTCCTTTCACCCTTCACAGGAAAAACCCTGCCCTGTATGACATTTTCTCATAGTCCTGCCTTTTGCTTTCTGAAGTGAAGTTGCAAAGGGCCTTAAATGGCTAGGAATGGGTTTTTTTTTACAGAGGAACTGAGTTGCCAGGAAACTTTCTTAAGGAGTGTGCCTCCTGTTTCTTTGGAAAGTTACATTCTCACCAAAGGCCAGCTGCCTCCTGAGTGAGGTGATAGTGGGCACGGTGCTGAATTTTCTTTTCTGTCTCCTGCCTTTAACCAAAGAAAAAGCAAATTGCAAGTCTCCGTGGTGGCAATCCTGCTCTTAGGTTCTAGGGTGAGATTCTTAAATACATGTATTTGCAAGATAGAAAACTGGAGCACTGAAGTTAATTATCTCCTTTTTGGATACTTGGTTATGAATGCAAAGATGAACCCTCTGATTTGCTGGCATTTAGCATAAAGTTGGAAAAGAAACCATATTCCAAAGAAACCAGGTTCTACACATACAGGCCTCAAATTTACAAGCTAAAGATGGATCCTTACAAAATCATTAAGTCAATGTGACTTAAATTAACTCAGCTTTAAGTTGGGAAGAATACCTACCATACTCAACTTTGTTGTGAGGGTAAAATAGGTTAAAGTAATTGAAAGAGTGAATACCACTATACACCTGCAAAGGGATGTTATTAAACACCAACATTTCATTATCAAATGTAGAGCATTTACATTTTTGCTCCTACAAAAATATTTATATTTATATTTATTGATATTTAAATTTTGATTGGCTTAATCTCTTCTGGTTTCCCTTTGAGGGAAAGAAGGGCTTAAAATTGTGTTGGTAGAAGAGAGTGCCTGGAATCTGAGAGTCTTCCATACTGAAATGTGAAACCCAGATTATATTCCAAATAGACATGCTTTTAAAATTTACCTTGTTTCTGTACCCTCCCAATGATACACATATCTGAGAGTTCATAATACTGGCATTTGTAACTTGAGTAAGTCTCCTGCCCTTTAAATTATGTACTATCACTGAACTAGATAAATGTAAAGCGTTGTCTTACTACATTTTACTGATAGTCTTTCTATTAACCTTTTTCTTACTGGTTAACATAATTTTTCTCTCTCAACATATACCTAACCAAGGGGAAAATGGGAATTTACTATCTTCATGGTTTGTATTGCATTTTACTTTCTCCATTTTCTCCCTGGTATGGGTAAATCTCACTACATGCAATTCTCTTAGTTCTATGTAACCTGCTATGGAAGAACCCCTTTTAGTGCCAGAAACTGCTTAACCACCACAAATTAAGTTTGATTTAAAGCTTCATTTGTAGTGCAGCCACAGCCTCTGTCAGGCATGAGGCAGAAAGCTGATCCTGTCCTTCCAGACCAAACCTTTCCCTCTTCATTTCTAATGCAGTTTCCAAAAACAGATCTTCACAAGCTGCAGAAAGAATCTGAAGGGAGGATTTGGAAAATGATCTTTCATCCATCTATTAATATATATGAGGTGTCTTAATTATTAGCTCTTGAAAATCTAGAAGTGACTTGCTTTGGGGGAATTAAATAATCAGTCGATGTTTATATCTACAAATCACTCAGTAGAGCAATCATCATTTCCTAGCAAATATTGATATATAACAGTCAACCAATGATTCTTTGTCAGTCCCCTAATAAGTGCATAGCTGTGGGCTAGAAGTTTGGTGTAACATAAATATAAGCATTAAAAGACCAGGTTCCTGCTCCCAGAAAGCATTAAAATTTAAACAAGAGACAAGATCTACATAGTTGAAAAAAATATATAGACATAATGAAGTAAAGAAGAGTGCTTACAATGGACTTCCAAAGAGAAAGAATATTATTGAATAAATTAGCTGTAAAAGGCCTGAGAACAGTTTGCCTAGACAAAAGGAATAAGGGAGTGTTTTCTGGGATGGAAGATAGGAACAGGTTTTTGCAGAATATGTGAAAGAGAGACACTGAAGGGATTGGCTTTGAAATAGAGAATACAAATGAAAAGATCCTGGGATGTATTTTAAATAACTTCAGAAATATTTTATTTGAAGGATCAACAGGGAAAGCAAGTTATATGCAATAGCAAACACTGGAAAAAATAGAAAATAATAATAATACTTTAAGTGACAGGAATCACCACCTTCAAAAGTTTCAGTTAAGACCTAGTCTTAAAAACTAATACTAGAAAAAGTTTGGAAGTTGTCACTCTCATCCACAAGAAAAAGAGCTGAAGAAAATGAAAATTAACAGTTCTTAGATCAATCACAGAGCTGAATCACAGGAAAACCCTTGCCCCCAAAACTTTAGAAAGAAGCAAATACTGAGAAATACAGTATACTGGGAGCAGAAACCAAGGAGCAAGAGCCAGTACAGGTAGAAACTATAACCGGTAAGTCACTGTAGGCCCACTACGGACTAGCCTGAGAGGTAAAACGCCGTGAAATATAATCTTTTGAATACCCCACATTTTCATGAGTTTTGCTTCTAAGAGCCCTACCGGGGTTTTAGGGTGAAGATCACAGAAAAATCTCCCTATAATTCTGTCAGGGGAATTAACAAAAGCAATCAACCCAGAGCACTCGTGCTTCTTAACAAAGGCCTGCCCTCAAGGAAAACTCTTTTATCAGAGCCTAAACTACTTGAATTGTAACCAAACCTAGCCTACCTGAGGGAAGAGAACTGCAATACTCAACTCCAGCCACCCCCTCAAGCTTTCCTGTCTCACTTAAAAAGAGGAGGAAAGCTGAGAAGCAGTTGTAAAGGTCATAGTTCAAAGGCACAGGCTCACTGAAAGACTGAGATTTTATCATAAGATTATAGAATGCTTACCACCAATCAGGCTCCTGTATGATAACAAGGGCTTTCAGCTGAAAGAACTGCAAAGCTCAGACCCTATTTAAGAAGCAGTCTCTAGGAAAACACAAAGAAAACAGTGGAGACATAAACAAGTACATTATAGGAAATTTTAGCCTCTTATAGCTAAAATATAAAATATAAAATATAGCCAACTATAGCAAACAGTAAACACAGCCTAACAACATAAACATAAAATCTCACACTAAAACCAGTTACCTCAGTTCCTTTTACCTGGTGCATAATATGTGGCTTTCAACAACAACAAAATATTACCCAAAAAATGTTAAAAAGCAAAACAAAAACAAACAACAACAAAAAACCACAACAAACAAAAAACAAACAAACAAACAAAAATCCAAACCCCAAAGAATGCAGTCTGAAGAGACCATGTACACATTAGAACCATAATCAGATATGGCAGAGATTTTGGAATGATCAGACTGGGAATGAAAGATAAATATGTTTAATATGTTAAGGGCTCCAATGGAACAAATGACCAATATCTATCAACAGATGGGCAATGTAACCAGAGAGATAGAAATTCTAAGAAAGAATCAAAAGAAAATGCTAGAAATAAAAAACGCAGTAACAGTAATAAAAGTAATGTCTTTTATGGGCTCAACAATAGACTGGACACAAATGAAGAATGAATTAGTGATCTTGAAGATATATCAGTAGAAATTCCTAAACTAAAATGTAAAGGGAAAAAAGTCTGAAAAAAAAGGAACAAAATATAACTCCTAAGGGATAATTACAAAAAGAGTAAGATGCATGTAATGGAAATACCAAAATTAGAATAAAGAGAGAAAGGAAAAATAGAAATATTTAAAGTATTAGAGCTGAGAATTTTGCAAAATTAATGAAATGCTCCAAACCAATGATTGCAAGAACCTCAGAGAATACCAATCAGAATGAATACTAAAAAATGTACACCTTGATATATCATATTCTAACTGCAGTAAATAGAAACAAAGAGAACATCTTGAAATAATCCACAGGAAATAAAAGTACCTATACAAGAACAAGAACAGGAAATACATCAGATTTATTTTTTAGAAATCATGCAAGCAAGAAAAGTGCAGTGAAATATTTAAAGTGGTGAAAAATACTCCAACAACCTAAAATTCTGTATGCATTGAAATTATTCATCAAAAGTGAAGGATAAATAGACTTTATCAGACAAATAAAACTGAGAGAACTTGTTGCCATTAGACCTGTCTTACAAGAAGTGTTAAAAGAAGTTCCCTGGAAAAAAATGAAAATGATATAGATCAGAAATTTGGATCTACATAATGAAAGAAAGAATATTAGAGATAGAATAAATTAAGGTAAAACATTTTAGTTTTCATATTCATAATTTATCTAACATGAAACAGTTTGTTTAAAATAATAATAGCAATAATAGTAGTTATAAGAAAAACAAATTCTGAGAACCTAATGTACGGCACAGTGACTATAGTTAATATGATACTGTATATCTGAAAGTTGCTGAAAGTAGATCTTAG